TCTTCTTCTTCTTCCTCTTCTTCTTCTTCTTTTTAATGTGAATTACATTTAAATAGCCACATGTGGTTGGTGGCTACTTATTTAACAGCACAGCTCAGAACAGCACAGCTCAGCACAGCACGGTATTTGATAATGAAGAGGCCTCTTGAATGACATCTTCTGGATCAGTACCTATCCCAGATAGAAGTAAACAACACCCCCCCACCCCCACCAGCATTGCACCATCATTATCCATTCCCTGCTTTTCAAAAGGGAAAGATCTTGGAAGGATAAGCCTATCCTCCTTTCGAATATCCCATTCTTCACCTCCTTTCCCTCATATTCCTCCGTTTCTCCACATTCTGAGACTTCTCAGGAAGGGCCTAGACCTTTATTTGAAGGGACAGAATTGAGAAGATTTAGAACTCACTGCCCAAAGAACGAAGAAAACATGCCCCTGGAGCATGTATAAATAAAGCACATATAAATGGAAAGCAAAATATGAAAAATGGCATTTCACTCTGCTTGCTGCTATGACAAAAATACATATGCAATTAGGGAATGAATGTCTATTTTCTTAGATTAAGGAGTTACAGTATATTTTCTTAGATGCGGATATAATATTGTGATTATGTAAGACAAGTTTCTTGTTTTTTGGGAATGCATGCTGGAAGATTTAGGAATAAAATGCTATGATATAATATCAGTGTGTGTGTGTGTGTGCACACACACTTGTGCATACACGTAGACATACGAGCCCCCAAACACCAAGATAGATACATACATAATACACATATAGATACATACATAATAGAGTAGATAAACTGATGCATTGACAAATACATTGTTTAGATACATATATAGCCTACACACATACATACATACATGCATAGATTGGAGGATAAGATACATAGATGTAAATAAATGATAGGGCAAACTGTCTATAATTGTTAAATATTAGAGTGGGCATAGGGGTGCTCATAGGGAAAACATGATGGACAACAGAACTACTGCTAATAAAAACTGCTTTTATTACTGCTGAGTGGAGGCCTCTTAAGGCCAGTGTGAGAAGTGGGTGGGTGTTGCTTCACCAGCCCCTCCAATCAGGTAATATGCCAGAGAGGCATCGAGGCAGGGCCAGGCAAGGTCCACACAGGAGGGAGCAATCACAGGAAAGAGGAAGGAGCCACAGTCTATATGGGCAAGATGGTAAGGACAATGGGCAGGATGGTATTAGATCCTCCCTATGCCATCTCCTTCCCATTCCTGCCTCATTCCAAGCCATACAGTAGTGGGCAGCCAGGCCAGAGCAGGGCCTCACAGCCACTAAGACTGGCCAGGGGACAGTGGGAGGAAGGGCAAGGAAGGCAAAGCAGTCCTGAGTCCAGGGAATTCGGCTGTGGGGGCAAGTGGCCTGTGGGGACAAATAGAGAGAGCTTGGGGTTATTGTTCCCATCCCACCTCTCAAAGTCACTGTGGGAGAGAGACTGAGACATCAGTTTCCCATCCTGCATATACACACTTGAATCCCAATCTCACACCCTTACCTGCTATGGCTGTCAGTGATACCATAGACTCAAGGGTTACTAGTCTCCCTAACTTTGTGGACCATGCATAGAATGAGGAAAGCTGTATTGAGGTTCCTTTGATGACCCCCAGTGGAGATCCATGCTCTCCTGGAGGTTGGATCAGTCAGCCCTCCCCCACATCCTGCAGGACTGAGGCCTGGCCTGAATTCTTACCCCAGCAGGGCTTGAGACAGGCTTTAGGTGGGGTGTCACTCAGACACCTGTCTGGTGCTGTTGCCCAGCACAGCTGATAGCAGGAAGGACCCAGCGGTTCCAGGGCAGGCAGGGCTGCTGTGGGCACACTGCCGGGGGACTGCTAAAAGAAAGCAAGAGAAGAACCTCAGCTTCCAGTGATGCCTCCAGTAGAGAACGCTGGGACCCCAGAGCTGCCTGCCACCCAGGTTGTATCCTGCACAACTGCAGAAGGCACCGTTCACATAGTAGACTTTGGGGATAGTACTTTCTCAACATGGACTCTGTGGGGCCCTAGAGAGCCAGAGATCCTGACTCAGGCCAGAAATGGGAGAGCCCGTGAGCCCTTCAGTCTTCCCACGGCACAGACTCCCTTCTCCTCCCGAGTACCTGTCCAGAGATGATTCCTGGGGCAACTCTTGATACAGTCAGCCCCTGGGAAGCACCTATAAAATAAGAGTGAATCCACTCAGAAAGAGGAATTGGGGCCGGGTACGGGAGGAGTGTAGTGACAGGCAGGAAGGTTGGATGCCAGGAAACAACCACTTCTAGAAGGGGTGGGAGGAGATGCATATTTTAACCCAAAACTGTCCTCTTCCCCAAGACAGGTCCTTGGGAAACTGGAGAAGAATGATTAAATTCCAGTGATGGTACTGGGGACAGTGCAGCCTTAAGAACGGGGACTGTGTGTGCCCAGCATCTGGCACATGGTCTGGCACTTGGGAGATGCTGTGTAAATGTTGGATGGATGGGTGGATGGATACATAGATTAATGGAAAGATGAATTGATGGATGCATGGATGCATGAGTGGGTGGATGGATGCATGAGTGGATGAATGGATGAATGCATGAGCAGATGCATGGATGGATGCATGGGGAGATGCATGGATGAATGGGTGGATTGATGGATGGATAAATGGATAGGTAGATAGGTGGGTGAGCAGGTGGGTGGGTGACTGGCTGGCTGGTTGGATGGATGGATAGATGGGTGGATGGATAAATGGATGGATGGATGGAGGGATGGATGCATGGATAGATGAGTGGATAAATGGGTACCTGGGTGGATGGCTGGGTGGATGATGCATGGATGAATGGATGTGTGGATAGACAGATGGATGGATGGATGGATGGATGGATACATGGGTGGATGGATAAATGGATGGATGAATGGGGGATGGCTGGCTGGCTGGCTGGCTGGATGGATGGATAGATGAATGAGCAGGCAGATGGAAGATGGTGCAGAGAAATCACCTGGCAGCTGCATTTCCCACTTGAGCTTCTCTTGCCGGCGCCATTTGGCTCTTCTGTTGGAAAACCAGACCTGAGCGAGGACAGGGACAATGCAGCTGGATGTACTTTACGCTGCCTGTCACCTGCTGATCTCACCACATATTCCTAGCCCGAACTCAGAATGTTGGCCCTTCCTTGGGCCTGACATCCTCCCTCCATGCTCTAGCTTTTGCTCTCTGGCCCCTTCCTCAACTCAAAGGTTTGGGTTGGGGAAGAGAGGAGAGCAATCAGCAGAAGGTGAACAAGGAGGGTCTCGTCTCTGATTGTTGCTCCAAACAAGTTTGTTTCCACCTTCTCACCTCCCCTCTCCACCTCATGGGAACCCAAAGCCCTGGCCAGCACAGACTCTTCTTCCTTGTGGTTTGTGCACAGTGTTGCAGAGCTCACTCACCCTCACAGTGTCCTCAGGCAGAGAGGTGGCAGCAGCCAGCTTTCCACGGGCCACTGAATCAGGATACTGCCCACGCTGGAACTCTGTGGAGATTGAGGGTCACAAAGTAAGGGCACCGGGAGAGGAGCAAGATATGGGTCTCCCCTCAGGCAACACTCCCCGCCTGCTACAACCCCAAACTACCTTCCTCCTCAAGGCAGGGCCACTCACAGCCTGCACCTCTCAGCCTTTGCCCACAGACCTCAGGGCCACTGTCCCTGTGTCACACCGAGGACTCTCTGACCCTCCATCTGCCCCAGCCCAGCACCTTTCTCCAGTGCCTCTGCTTGGCTTGGGGAGAAGATAGTCCGATTCCGGTGGCCGGTCCCTGGGTGGGGACCCCGGGGAGTCTCAGAGCCACTGTGGGGAGTGAGGAGAGCTGGAGCCAAAACAGCTGAAAAGGAAGACAACAGTCTGTGGTGGTTTGCGATGGTGATTCCTCTGGTCAGATGGGGTCCCTAAGTCCCTGGGGCTGCAGCTGGGTGTCTCACCATGGGTAGAAGAGCAGAGCCAAGTTGGTGGGGCATTCACAGTTACTTAGAGGTCACTGCAGGGTCACTTGGTGGAAAGGGTTCTCAATACTATGGTGGGGTGTATGCTTAATGTGCGGGGCTTTGGAGGGACTAGTAGCAGGCTTGGGCCAGGTGTGTGTGGTCCCAAAGAACATGAATGATGCTCTAAGAAGCTATGCACAGAGCAGAGGGAGGGTATGAGACTCAGTCCTGCCTCTTCTTCAATAGATCCTGTGAATCCAGGGGCTGGGGGACCTGGGTTCTGTTCCAGGGCCTGCCATCAACTAGCTGGTGACCTTGGGTAAGTCACTTCACTTTTCTGGATGTCAATTTTCTTCTGCTGGGAGAGAATAAGACTCACTGCCTGGTCCTCCTTATTGGGTTGTTGTGAAGATGATCCAAGAAAGAACGAGAAAAGGCTTTGAGAACCATAAAATGTTGGAGATTCAGCTCTGATTAGCCCTGGGGACAACTCCAAGACTCACCTGGTGACCTGAGCTGTGTCCACGGTAGTCCCTGGTCCTCCTGTAGTGCCCGCAGGACTCGGTTGATGGAGGAGACCTAGGAGTGTCGGGGTGTTGAGTGGAGAGATGGTGCTCAGACCCAGGGCTATACCCTGAGGACATTCCCCTTAATATCCTTTTTCCTGTCTGTCTCCACCCACACATTGTTCCTAAGGGCAGCCTCATCTCTCTCTCTATGCTTTCTCCTTCCCAATTATCTTATTACCACCACTTTTCAAAAGAAAAACGTATGGGTCAGAAGAGCGCAGGAGCCCTGTCACCAGCCTGGGATGCCCACATTGCCAAATAAGAAAGGCTATTTGTCTCCCCAGAAAGCCTGTTTTCCAGCCCCATTGTTGGAAGGGAAGGGTACTTACGCTGGGAGTCTTGTCCTGGGTGCAAAGCCCTTCAGCACAAAGCTGGCGTTGGATTTCCCAGGCAAAGAGAGCTGGACACTCACCCTTCAGCTGGGCAATTCGAGCCACCACAGGGGGTGTAGCCAGCCGTGGCTTGCTTCCCCCAATGCCCTTGGGCTCCAAGACACCCGTGCGGTAATAACGCCCTAGGATCTTGCTCACACAGCCGTTAGATACCTGAGTCAGGTGAGAAGCAGGGACAGGTGAGGCACAATGGGCAGAAGGAGGGAGAGTGTCCCTGGGACAGGAGGAGGCTACAAGACAAAGCCAAAACTTACTGGACCAGGCCATGGAGTTGGGAGTCCAGCCTCACCTTTGAGGGTCTGAAGTGCCCCTTTTCAACCTCCAAGAGGGTCTGCCAGGAAGTGACTCAAGTCCCAAAAGCCCTCAGAGCCTGCAACAGCCCCAGGCTCTTGCCTTCAGAGGAGCCCTTTCTCCCTGCTTCCTGTCCCCATCACTGGGTAAAGATGCTGGCCCATTACCTTAAGGCTCCGTGAGATGTCACAGGGCCGCATTCCACTGACTGCTAGCCGCACAATCTGCTGCCGTGTATCCAGAGGCAGGGGCCGGCCATTCACAAAGAGCCCCCCAAGCTGGTTCATGCTGCTGATCCCTGGGCATGAGAGAGAGGTATCCACACACCACCTCCCACTGCCCTGCCCACATGCGGAGAGGGTCACTCAGGCCCCTCCAGCCTGGCTTCCCAACGCTGAGTGCATCCTCTCCTGGGAGACTGCATCCTTGCTGCCCCCAGGCTGTCAACGCAAGCCACTTTCTTTGAGAGCTGGCTCATGGGTGAGTCTTTGTTCCTTGCTCATAACCTCTGACTCTCCTGATCTAAGGGAAGCAGGACAGGACAGGAAGTGAGGGGCTGGAAAAAACTTCTCCAGAACATTGGCCAATGGCAGATGAAACAGTTGATGGAAGCAAAGCCCTGAGGTCTTCCCCTGTCTCTGTCGTCCTCCGTGTCTTCCCACTTCCCCCAGGCTCCTCACCGTCCTGCTGCATGCTCCAAGCTGACCCTCCTCAGAAGGATGAGACTCCAGCAAAGTAGCCTTGGGAGGGAAGTTCCTTCTAGGAGCTCCTTTTTCAGCTTGGGGGCTCTCTGCAATAACGGGGGGTTATTTGGGTGAGGTCTTTTGCTTCAAATGGTCCTGGGAGGTAGTGTTTTGTGATAGAGGGTCAGGTTTCTAAAATTTGCCAGTGAGTTGGCTAAAATTAGAAAATTCTAATTCCTTTAATTTAAACCTTTGTGTGATAAAAACTAAAACACTGCAGGTTGGCTGAGGACTGGATCTTTCTTGAAGTCCTGATAAGGGGCTGGGAGGATTGAGAGGGTTCTCATTTCCCACACATTCATTACAAAAGGTTGGGGAGGTAGAAAGGGATGATGCTTTCAAATGCTCAAGCTTTCCCCTTTCCAAATGGACAGCTGTTGTCTCCAACTGCTGCTAAGTTTCTCAGCCCTGGATGACACATCTGAGCCAGAGATTCTGGGGTCCTCAAGTTCAGGGGTCCACCTTCACTATTAGGCAGTCCTCATTTGGGATCTCCAAAATGCCCAGCCAAATGCTGCACTTCAGAAAGACTTGCTCCTGTTTTTTTATGCTCTCCAGGAAGCACTGAAGAAACTGGGACTCAGCTCTACCCCCCAGGCATTGAGGCTCTCGTCCTACACACTGGGCATAGAGATGAACATGCCTGAAGAGCCGGCTTCTCCTAGGAGGCACATCTCTTAGCATCTCTAACCTGCTGAGATTGTTCATTCCTGTTAACTCGGAAGAGTTCTAGATCTCAAAGTGAAGCTTCAATTTCAGAGACCACCTTTATGGTATCAGACACTCATTCATTCAACTAACATTTACCAAAGACATATTGAAGGGAATGGGAAGCAGGAGAGGACTGTCTGCTGATGAATACAGAAACCGTCATGAGCCCAAGAGAGTCTCTGAGCAGCAAGGGACACAGGTCCCACAGGCCACCATACCTCTTCTACTTTCATCAGTAATTAATGGAAGTTGAAGATGCCTCCTTTCATGCCTGGAACCCTGGTGGTGCTGGAGGTCACCCCAAGGAACAACTTATGCATAGAATTTTCTTGTAATAAGTGTGCCATCTGGGCTCAGTTAATTCATCTGCAGTTATATGCTGAATAAGATATTAAGCATGAGCACATTGCTGGTTGTTCAGGATGAAGGCAGTAAACAGAAAAGGGTAAAGTCTTTGCTCTCCAACAGATTACAGAGCAACTGGAGAAAGGAGACTAGCTCTGGTGAAACAAAGAATTACAAGGAGTTTGGAGTCCAGAGTCTACTTATTAAGTTCAGTAGCTAAATTGGCTTTTACTCACTTGTTTCTAGGTAGGTGGAGGCACAGACCCCTTCAAATTCTCATCTTTCCAAAAAGTTGGGAAGTAAGGCAGAGGTTTTCCAAAGAGAAAACTGAGGCACAGATTGGCATTCCCACAAGTCAGGGGCTGTCCAGAGAATAAAACTCAAGGTTCAGAAGTCAGTTCCTCGCCAGAGGCTACAATTTCTGGCTCCTAATCCTGGGCTCTCTTTCTCTGCTCCCGCCCCTGCTTCATGTTTGTGCAATTGCCGCAAAAACAATGGAGAGAGGAGAGTCAAGCAGGGACTGTAAAGGGCTGTGGCAAGACAGGATGAAAGAGCTCAAAATATCAGCCAAACCCTAAATCCTTGATAGGATTCAGTTCTCCTACATGACCAGAATTCAAAGGAGCAGTAGGGATGCAGGTTCAGTATCCAAACCTAAATAACCTCCAAACCTAAATCATTATGTCCCAACTCACAAACAGAAACCCCATTCCCAATAGCCACACCACACATTCCCAACATTCATACATACTAACATGTCTGAAAAAATAACTGGTGCTTGCAAGATGGAAAAACAGGAAAGCGGGTGGAAGGGGCAGGAGGGTGGTAGCCACAAAGACAGAGTGGGAGAGAAGTTGGGTTTGGCCACACAGAGGCATGGAGACAGCATAAGGGGCAGGGCAGACAATGAGCCTGCAGGTGAACTACCTGTGTGGAGGAAATGAGGTGGGAGCTTCAGTGGGAGTCTCAACTTCTGAGACCCCTGCAGGCTTCAGGGGTGGTGATGGTCTGGTCTTGGTCACAGCCTCCACTCTGCTCCTGCTTCAGTCCTGCCAGGGGGTCCAGAGCTACAGAGAGCCCGTGCTCAAGAGCAGAGGGCAGCCTTCTGGGAGTAGCCAATGATGTCACAGGCCATGAGCAGAGGAGAGAGGAGGAGGGAGGTGTGCATGGGCTGACTGACACCAGCCCTGAGGCAGGGCAAACCACAGCCAATGACCCACTGTGTCCTTCCATGGGGAATCCTCAGAGCCCACTTTGTGTCCACCTACCACCCTGAAGCAGGGACAGAGCCATTCTCATGCAGGCAAAAGTGCACCCACACAAGCACCAGTACTCCTGAAGGGTATGCTGAGCATGGAAGATGGGGAACTTCAGGTTGTGTCCTTAAGGCTTTGAACGTACAGAAACAAAAGATGCCTTCCCAAAACACCAACACACCTTCCCAGCCAGAATGCACATGCCTAGACTTTGGGGTCAACTCCTGAGTAATGTGTGTTGCTATAAAAGATAAATGAGTATACAGACTATTGCCTAAATACTGACTGAGTTGGCTCCTAGCACTCTGAGATAATGAGAGTGAATGGAGAAGAGTGTGAAGAGTGCGTGTCGCTTAGCACCAGCTGTCCCCAGAGAGTATCCTCACCAATTCTCCAATTGACTCCTTGACTGAGGTGACACCAAGGGTGAATTCTTGCCTGGAAATGGAGGATCCTGGACTTAAGAACACTGACAATGGTAGTGGTGGTGGAAATGAGCCTCAGGATAGTCAGAGATGCATATGGGTGTTTGTAAGGAGACTTGCAGCAGGATTTTCCTTCTTTCCTCTTTAGATGTTATCAGACTCCATTTTGTTAGGGATTTGGTGCATTTACACTCTAAGTTAGTAATGGCACTGTTGTTTCCACAAAAGACACCACAGGTTATCTGGGTCATTGGCGAGGCAAGAGGCATCGGTAGCTGGGCAGGTGGTGCCTGTGGAGTGGGATGCTGGAAGTGAAACACAGCCTCTAGTGCATGGAAGTTTTGTTGCCAGTCATCAGGGTCTTGGGCAGATGGTCTTTGGGTCCATTCCACACCTCAGAGTCTTTGAAGCCATTGCAAAAGTCAGACTGGAAGTAAGCAGGGTGTAGGGCAATAGGACTAGACCCAGAAATCAAAGAATGGAAGACTTATTTCATGGGTAAATGTTTTGAAGTTCTAGGGATGAAAGTGGTTGTTGTGCATTCAGCTTGATCCTAAGGTTGGGAACTCTTGCTCTCAAAGGCCAAATATCACATAAGTGAGTTTTCCACTTTACCCTGACACATACTCTCTTCTTCTTCCACCCTCCTCTGGCATCCTGAGGCTGGTCTTGGGGTACAGGGGAGACTGCAGAGGGTGATTTCAGGACCTCGGGCAGGACAGCATTTGCCCAAGTGCCCTTACAGCCCATTCCATTCCCGGGCAGCTGGGGACTGCTGGTCACTGTACTTAGCCATGCCTGGGTGGGAAGAGGTCCCCAGGAAGACCTGTGGTAGCCCTGCTCTTAGTCCCCCATTCCTGCCTCATCCCTCCCCCCTAGATCTGCCCCTGCATCTAAGGGCTCAAGGCTCATGTCCTGACCAGCTATTCCTATAGACAGCTGCATGAGGGTGGAGATAGGGGTATCAGGGGGAGCAGGGACAAGCCCTGGCAGATGGTGGTGGCAGCGATTTACCCCATAAACTACCCTCTCCCTCCGCCTTTATGACGCGCTCTTGGGTCTGAACAAACAGAGGCTTTCGACCCAGAGGTGATGGGGGAGGGAAAAGTGGTAAAGGGCCCTGGCAGGGGGGCCTAGCGAGCCCAAAGGCTCTGCCACTCAGCCCTCTGCCCAGCGCGCTAGACTGTTTGAGGAGCAAATATCTGCCTTGACTGTCTGACTCTCTCAACTACCCCCACCGGGTTTGGGGCTAATTGTCCCTCATTAGCTGGGCCCAGGCCCCGGGCTGCCGCCAGCCCCCGCCATCTGCTCACAATTATACATTAACTCAAAGGTCTTGCCACCCGCCAACAGGCTGTGCGCCCCTCTCCGGGGCCAGCCATGGCCATTCCAGCCTTTCCCTCGCCCTGATGTAGAGCCCTGATCGCTGGCTTCTTTTGCCCTTAGGAGTCCCTGGTAGAAAGTCCCGTGTCTGTAGGGAAAGTCCTGTCCTCAGGAGAGGCGGCTGGAGTTCCCCTGCCTTCCTCAAGGGACCAGAGGGCGAGACAAGCCCGTGCGTAAAGCTGGAGAGGACTGGGCGCGGCCAGCGCAGAGACCCGCTGTCGTTGGTCTGACACCTCGTCTTGGGCTCTAGGCACCTGTTGTGGGAGGTAACACCAGCTCTAGGCTGTTTCCACCCCTCCCTATGGTGCATTTTCGTAGGCTGTGGGATCCTGGGCCCCTTCTTCTCTGTATCTGGAAAGCCCCGTCTCCTGCCAGCCCTCAGCTTTCCAGAGCGCACGCGCCACCTGTCCAAAACAGCTCCCTGGCGTCCTGTGCCTCCCACCTTAAAGTCAAAGTGATTTCCTTGCTACAAAAACACGGGGGCTCTTCGAGTTCCCTGAAAATTCTAAACTTCAGACCCTCACGCTAAAGTCGCGCCACCCGCGTAAAGCTTTATGCAGTTACCCTACTCTCCCAGCCCAGCCCCTGCTCTGACACCAAAACTCCCTCCCCGCAAATCCCTGCAGTCTCCTGCTCAGCTTCTAGGAGGCTAGCACCCGGATCCCTCCCTCGGAACACCCCAAGGAGGGAGGAAGGCGCACACCCTCCCAACCGTGACTTTGAACTGGGGGCACAGAAGAGCCCTCCCTTTTCCCCTCTTTTTCACCATGAGCCTCTAAACTCTGAGCTCAACCTTGCCTCATATTTCTCTCAGGACTAGGGTAGATGAG